GCCCGTAATATAAAAAGCAGGCGTCACATCATGCGAATAGTGTACATGGCGTCACACAATACCAATTTCGTACGAGTAGTTCACTGAATGCCATCACCCATTGCAAAGGGTTCCCCCTTAATTCTTCATTGTCGTTAGCTATCGATCAGCTACCGCATCAATTTATGGCGTATCTTGCAAGCCTACTTTAAAAGCGTGCCTTTATTCGTTGGCCCAAAATAGTCTTATACAGGCTCTAGAAATTCCGCTCATCCAGCTTTCGCTGTGACTGTACAGCGCTTCACGTGAAGGCCTGGCGATTTAGGGTTAGAGCTCCTCCTGCTCGGGGCAAGTTCCTGGCCACGCCATCCCTTTTTTATCGCCGGGAGCTCCATGAGTGCACATCTCCACGCAGCTACTCATCACAAACAGTTTTGATGCGAAGGCAGCTTTGCGGGGAGCTCGCAACGTGGCAGCAATGCATCGGTACAGAACCGAATTAGAACGCGATTCATTCGTGCTCCTCGGAAGCTTCAACATAGACATCACGGCGGTTTACCCCTGCTAGGTAGTCTCCACTTGATGTCCCGTTATGGTCCGTATCGTGCAGCTTGTAGGTCTACAAGTGACCCACCGCCAGCAGAGGGACCTGTATTGACATTGACTGCTCCAACTTTCAACTACAAACTCTCATTCGTGACGCTGTCGTCACGTTAATCACCGACGACAAGGTAGTAATCATCAAAGAAAAACGCGTCCACAACTTTGTAATCAGTAATGTAATTCTTGTAGGTAGTTCATCTATATGTATATGATTACACATTGTGTGTATACCAGCATGCACAATTCCATAAATATGTTAATAATAAACAGTGTGCATGTAGTAAGCCTATATACGATTTTTATGTGATGTGCGGGCGAATGTTCCACGGTTTTATCGATAGCATTGCCTCTTCGTCCCATTAACCATGATTAATTTTATCGAGGTATTGGTATTTATTTATGCTGACTACCTGAGAGGGAGCCTCATTAAACTGGCTGCTTCCTGATGCGCGCTTCCCAGTTTTCGCTTTTCATTTTTCAGATTTGTGAGGTATTCACTTACGAACCAGAAAAATTAGCACAAAATTTATATGCTGTTGAAAACACCGCATTTAAATGTGATTTGAACGTAGCTGCAGCTGCCTCATTGATATTTCGACTAATATGTGAGCAGCTGTCGAGTAGGAATACAAGTACGAGTAGTTCCCCAAACTTCATTAGCGAAAAACTAGTAGTGGTTGTATACTGCAGTGTACTGGGAACAGTATACGCTAAGAACAATTAGTGTAGTGCCAAGATGTGTCTTTTAGTGCCATTATGCGCATATACAAAAACACGCATGGACATACATAAATAACAAATGGACCACTCCCCCCAACTCGTTCGCAAAAAAAGAAAATTGTGGCTAGGCATGTAACTTAAAAGTGTGGCAGTTCGGGCTAGTTGGCATGGCATGACAATAGCTATAACGCGAGAATATAACGCCGACAAAGAAACAGAAAGGACACACGTTGGAAGTTAGTGCTCGTGTCCTTCTTGTCTCTTTGTCATCGTTCTGTTCTCGCGGTATAACTATCCTCATATCGTTGTGGCTAGGCGCCTGGTACGCGGGCTTAGCGGATGGCACATTCGCACAGATGAGTGCTGAAGAAGTAAACTTCATTACAATTCGAGGTTTGTTTGTTCATAAAGCTCTGTTTTTTATGCTAAATTTCAGACAGCTTGAGTTCACGGCTATGTGCAAGCCGCTCGCAATAGACGCCAGTTGTAGATTCTTGTAAATCTACTTCGCATCGTACGTGACATTTTGCCGAGAGAACACTTTTGACACTGCCTCATGACAATACTCACATTGTAAGATAACTCGTTTGAATGTGATAGTATTTAGCTTTGCCCTACGCTTTTGTATGTTAAATAAATAATAAACAAATGCACGTATATATGGGTCGGTGCGTATCACCAGCCATAACGTTTGTTGATTAATGACGGCTGAAAGCAAGCAGGAGTGCTTGTCATCAAATCAGGTACTTGTTGCTTATAAATAAAGCTGTGACTGTACAGCGCTTCACGTGAAGGCCTGGCGATTTAGGGTTAGAGCTCCTCCTGCTCGGGGCAAGTTCCTGGCCACGCCATCCCTTTTTTATCGCCGGGAGCTCCATGAGTGCACATCTCCACGCAGCTACTCATCACAAACAGTTTTGATGCGAAGGCAGCTTTGCGGGGAGCTCGCAACGTGGCAGCAATGCATCGGTACAGAACCGAATTAGAACGCGATTCAATCGTGCTCGACGAAGGCCTCAACATAGACATCACGGCGGTTTACCCCTGCTAGGTAGTCTCCCACTTGATGTCCCGTTATGGTCCGTATCGTGCAGCTTGTAGGTCTACAAGTGACCCACCGCCAGCAGAGGGACCTGTATTGACATTGACTGCTCCAACTTTCAACTACAAACTCTCATTCGTGACGCTGTCGTCACGTACATCACAGACCACAAAGTAGTAATCATCAAAGAAAAACGCGTCCACAACTTTGTAATCAGTAATGTAATTCTTGTAGATAGTTCATCTATATGTATATGATTACACATTGTGTGTATACCAGCATGCACAATTCCATAAATATGTTAATAATAAACAGTGTGCATGTAGTAAGCCTATATACGATTTTTATGTGATGTGCGGGCGAATGTTCCACGGTTTTATCGATAGCATTGCCTCTTCGTCCCATTAACCATGATTAATTTTATCGAGGTATTGGTATTTATTTATGCTGACTACCTGAGAGGGAGCCTCATTAAACTGGCTGCTTCCTGATGCGCGCTTCCCAGTTTTCGCTTTTCATTTTTCAGATTTGTGAGGTATTCACTTACGAACCAGAAAATTAGCACAAAATTTATATGCTGTTGAAAACACCGCATTTAAATGTGATTTGAACGTAGCTGCAGCTGCCTCATTGATATTTCGACTAATATGTGAGCAGCTGTCGAGTAGGAATACAAGTACGAGTAGTTCCCCAAACTTCATTAGCGAAAAACTAGTAGTGGTTGTATACTGCAGTGTACTGGGAACAGTATACGCTAAGAACAATTAGTGTAGTGCCAAGATGTGTCTTTTAGTGCCATTATGCGCATATACAAAAACACGCATGGACATAGATGAATAGCAAATGGACCACTCCCCCCAACTCGTTCGCAAAAAAAGAAAATTGTGGCTAGGCATGTAACTTAAAAGTGTGGCAGTTCGGGCTAGTTGGCATGGCATGACAATAGCTATAACGCGAGAATATAACGCCGACAAAGAAACAGAAAGGACACACGTTGGAAGTTAGTGCTCGTGTCCTTCTTGTCTCTTTGTCATCGTTCTGTTCTCGCGGTATAACTATCCTCATATCGTTGTGGCTAGGCGCCTGGTACGCGGGCTTAGCGGATGGCACATTCGCACAGATGAGTGCTGAAGAAGTAAACTTCATTACAATTCGAGGTTTGTTTGTTCATAAAGCTCTGTTTTTTATGCTAAATTTCAGACAGCTTGAGTTCACGGCTATGTGCAAGCCGCTCGCAATAGACGCCAGTTGTAGATTCTTGTAAATCTACTTCGCATCGTACGTGACATTTTGCCGAGAGAACACTTTTGACACTGCCTCATGACAATACTCACATTGTAAGATAACTCGTTTGAATGTGATAGTATTTAGCTTTGCCCTACGCTTTTGTATGTTAAATAATAAACAAATGCACGTATATATGGGTCGGTGCGTATCACCAGCCATAACGTTTGTTGATTAATGACGGCTGAAAGCAAGCAGGAGTGCTTGTCATCAAATCAGGTACTTGTTGCTTATAAATAAATAAATTATATATATATATATATATATATATATATATATATATATATATATATATATATATATATATAATGAATTTATAACACGAAAAAATAAACATGAAGTAATCCTGGTGATAATGTTGTAATGTTGTAATAAGATTGTTTCACGACCACAAACTAACGCCATAAGAGCCTAGTCGTCGTTCAAAGTCATCGCATGAATCAAACATAATGCTAGCGAACGTCGAACGTCTGCAAATTAGTGCATATTAGCGCGATGCTCCAAACAACGAAACTGCCTACGGATGCTGAAGAGCGTATCGAAAACCAATCGACCGATGGTGACAAGTGGGACCTCCAAAGTGCTTTAGAACGTGCACGTTTCATAGCAATGTACCCAACTGAATCAACTTCTTTATTACAGTGGGGCAGCTGTACGTTTTATTGCGCGTTCACTGCAACATACCAGGTGCGTAAGCCACGCCCACTCGTAAATGGTTGTAAAGATCACTGAATATGCTTTTGGTGTTTATGTTCATCCAATATTGTTGCGTAACACCCTAGCAACACAATTTTTACTGAATACGTCTGCTTCACTTTAACAGCTTTATTAACAGGGGACCAGAACTAAGAAGGTTTTACGAAGAGAGAGTTGGGCTGAATTATACCACAAATTCAAATATGAATTATGAACGACGAAATAATAAGCCTACTATGCAGATGTTGCTATTGATATTATCAATTAGTCATGTCACGTTGAAACTTTCGGTTGTAAAAATGCGCATGCAAGAACGCAAAGATATCTAAAGATCTACTCAAATGGCGATAAAAAGTTTGCCTCCAAATTTCATTGTATACATGCATACATGATTTACAGTGGTTTTTGTTAACACTCTATTTGAATACAGTTTTCCCTGCTAGTGGTTCTAAATAACGTTGATGCAACGTTCGGGCCCCCACTGCCAATGCAGGAGGAAGCTCGCCGTGCCACCAGCGTAAGTAAATAATTGCAAAAAATCGTAAAACTAGCCAGCTCAAGAGCGCTCACGAGGTGGGCGCACCGCAACGCACGAGAGCTTCCCTGCGCGCTATGACTCACAGACAACAGAAAAGACCGATTAATTGGGTCACGCACTCCGGCGACCTTTACCTACAGGCTTCCACCTGGAGCTTCGCCCCATGCTGCGCACGATGTGCGACCGTCGAGCGCCTTATCCCACGGAGACGACGGCGATGGCACGCTGGCGTGCAACAAGCCACAGCCGCGCTTGTCTTGATTCCCCGCCGCTGCTTGCCCAAGAGCTACTGTGTTCGAAACAACGCCGCGTCGCTCTACTCCCGTATCAACACCTGCTTCGTGAGATGCCGCGAGCGACCACCTGTTGCTCATTGGATCGCGAGTGCCGACGGTGAGCTCTTCATTGGCGCGTCACTGCCGCCAGACCCGACGTCTTGTTTGTGCACGAACCCTTGCGGGATCGTGAAGGATCCAGATGGTACCGGCGATGAACCTGAAGGATGTAAATGCCCTCGTAAAGGGTATGATGTTGACACACCGGTTTAGGTAGGCGTTAATGGGTGTTTTTCAAGCAACACGTGGCAGTGATAGACAATGCACGCGTTAGTACGCGCGGAATGCTTCAATAGTGCACGTGCCGAAATACTGGCGTAAGTGAAGGATTTCAGCAAGTCGAGGTTGCAGAAGCCTGTTGTTATTTTCTTTGCGTATGTGCCGCGCTACTTTGTGGCAGTTTGCAGGCATAACGTGGTCCGGAAAGCTTAGAACTGGGCTGATGGCGGATGCATTTGTGTGTGGTGTTCGCGCATGTGCTTTTGCAGCCGCCGTATTCGTTGACGCAAAATTTAGCCGTATACTATAAAAAGTGACGAATACACTTTCCCGGCTCTTCACCGGCACAGCTAACGCCGAAGTTGTTCATCCGACAGCATAATGCGCAACCCGCGTCATTATTTAGGAAGATCAAATTCATCATAATTTCTACATGCTCTCACGACGTCATTCTTCGATGGAATTTTTTTTGTCGCCACGGCACCCTGTTTAACAACGCACGAGCCGAAATGAAACTCTCAACGTTCGCAGGTGTGGCACCCGTAGAAAGCCTATCGGTTTTGAGCAAGATCCACGTCAAAGACGATACCATAGCGACTCCAAACTCCTCTATACTGTTTTGTCAATCTATTGTGCTGGTCTCTCCGACATCGTTGCACTCCTTTTGCTAGTGACTCGTTTGCACGTCAAAACTTTGCTGACGCCATTTGTGACCGTGCAAGTCAAAGAAGCATCACTATATATATATTTTTTTGACCAATCCATCCCCGTTAATTTTTCGCTGGCGCCAGGGAAATGTCAAAGCATAGTTGAACCACTCGAAGACGCACACAAGTAATGGATGCTCGCGATGACGCACACTATCCCAGTTCCTGCGCCCTCAGTGTTGTTTTCACTACTGACTCGTCTCCCGCTGACATATTTGGTTCCTTGATTGTTGAAAAACACGCACAGGTCAAGCGTTCCAGGTTTTGATCCTGCTGGAAAAATTCCCTTCTTGTTTCAAGGTCAGGCGCATATACACTCTTTTCTGCTGCTGGTCCACTGTTGATACAAACGCTGTTGTCCCATCTATACAAAACCAACACTGCAACAACCGATAATACTGTGTCTCCCGCCGAACGTCAGGTAATTCATAACAAAGACAACGCTACGCTCCGATGCGAAGTTATACAACCCCTTGACAGCCAATACGTGTCTCTTGTTGCTCTAATTGCAAAGAAGGATGGTTCGGTTCAGTTCTGTCTATAATACCGAAACCTCCAGAAGACCACTTGCAACGATGTATATTCACTGCCACGAATCGACGACGTAATTGACAGCCTGCCAGGAGCAGACTCATTTCCGTCTTTGTGTTCACCATAGGGCTCATGCCAATCTTTTATAATTTTTATTTCTTGAAAGTAGCGAATATTGGTATCTTGCTGATTAGAGTAGGATGTGTGGTAGAAAACAATTTGGGTTCCCACTGTGTTTGAGGACTCACTATGCAGTAATCAGGCCCCTCTACATCCCCCCCCCCCGCCGTAAAAAAAACAACACAATCAAGACGTGAATATAACGCTTGCATTTAAAGCCACGCTTCGAATCTACTTGCCGTTTTACTCGTAAGAACCTTTTATGATTTGTCGCAATTTCTTTACTCTTATTTGGTTTTTGCTCTCACAGACTTTATGAGCCCAAAATGCTTTTTGCGTTTGTGCCAAGATTGGCGACGTAGGCTTAATGCTCTTAGGCCATAATTTCAGTTCGCCACGCCAGTGAAAAAACTCTTTGGTGCATTGCACTTTATATATATATATATATATATATATATATATATATATATATATATATATATATATATATATATATATATAGTGGGAGTAATAATTCAATGGGCCAGTTAGTCTAGTCTTTGTGAAGGTACGGGATATGGCACAACGGGAGCGTTGTCAATAAGAATAATTATATTTATTTCCCAACAGTTTCGGGAAGGGTCCTCCGTTCATCAGGGGATGAGTTATACTGACATGAATTTCCAAACTTTGTTGCTGCCGCGTCCCTCTCGCCTTGAAACATGTTTGCGAGAGAAAGAGGGAGCTGAAAAGAAAGGGGGGGGAGAAAAAAAAAGAAAGAAAAGAAAGAAAGTAGAAAAGAGAAAGAACCACTGTCAACACTGAGAACGAAACCAACTGTCCGTGTACGTCCACATACGTTTCTTATCACGTGCTGTTCAGTTCTCGACGTGTGTCGGGCCACCCAAGAATGTCGCCGCGTTGCCGGGAGGGTCCGTGACGGCGTGCGTAAAGGAAGGGTCTCCCGTTAATGGGTCGGTCGGCTCTTTTTACTTTTAATCTTCGTCCGTTTCCCTTTAATGGTCATCAAGTGGTAGGCGAACGAAAACACTTTGTATGTGCATGTGGAAAAAAGAAGAAAAGAAAAAAAATGAATGAAGAAAAAACGAAAACAACAATGGACAGTGTACACGTACGAGTCAGTCCGAAGAAAGCATGGTCTCCAGCTATCAATCTTTGTCACCAATTTCCTCCTGGCTTACTTCTCGGAGGCAGTTGAGTTTCGAAATTTGAAAATAAAATATGCCTCACGCTGTTCGCGCTCGCGTCTGTTTGAGAAACCGGACTGCAAAAGAGTTACGCTGATATTTTCAAAACTGTGGTTTGGCAGGTGCAGATGTCTAGATAAAGGTAGCTTCGGCAGTGAAGCGGCGTGGTACCGGTGATTATTGAACCGCAGCCGAAATGGCGTATCTGTTTGGCCGATATATTCTTGTCCGCAGATGTTGCAATGTAGCATGTATATTACGTTACTGGAGTCACAATTAAGGCTTTCAGTTATGCAGACTTTGAAATCCGAGAAGTTCGCTTTGGATTCACGTGTTGTGACCATCTGTGGGCATACCTTGCATCGAGCTTTTCCGCAGGGATGGCACCCTGATTGAAATTTGGGGGCGCTTGTTTTTGCTCTGACAAGAATGTCCTTCAGATTTTTATCCCGGCGGTACACCACGTGAGGTGGCTTCGCGAAGATAGAAGTTAGTCGTTTGCTTTGCCTGATTATGTTGAAATGGCGGGACAGTATGTTGTTGATTTGTGGCGCTGATGAGGAGTAAGTTAGTACAAGGTTAGTTTGGGAAGTCGTTTTAGGTACTCTGTTTGGTTCCTTAATATTATCATTCCTGTTCACGTTGCGAGCACGTAGTATGGCATCGTCAATAATGTCTTCCGGATAATTTTGTTTCAATAAAGAATGCTTTAGGTGTTCCGCGCGCTCCCCAAAATACACAAGGCAGGTAATCCGGGACGTCCGATAGTATCCAGTAACAGCACATCAACAGAACATATATCAGAATTCATCAATTCCTTAATAAAAACATCCCCCCAAATTTTCCCTATTACCTAAAGGACACAAACCACTTCATCTGCGAAACTTCAAGTCTCGACATCCCAGGCGGCAGTTTTCTGGTGACCATGGACGTCTGCTCACTGTACACCAACATACCCCACCATGACGGAATAGCGGCTATGGTTTCTGAATATGTAAAATCTGACTCATCAACTAGTGTAAGTGGCGAGGTACTGTTTACACTTCTTGAACTTGTACTAAATTATAACCATTTTGAGTTCAATGGCAAGCATTTCTTCAGGTCAGTGGCACTGCAATGGGCACGAAAATGGCCCCAAACTTCGCGAGCACCTTTATGGCTTCACTTGAAATCCCATTCATTGAAGGATGCACCTTGAAACCTTTCTACTACAGAAGATACTTAGACGATATTTTTATGATATGGAACCATGATGAGGGAAGTCTTTTCCGCTTCATAGAGGATTTTAACAACAAGTGCCACCCGTCTTTTTTTCTCCCCCCCCCCCCCCCGCTTTTTTCAGTTCCCTCTCACTCTCGCAAAAATGCTTCGAGGCGAGAGGGACGCGGCAGCAACGAAGTTTGGAAATTCATGTCAGTATAACTCATCCCCTGATGAAGGGAGGACCCCTCCCGAAACTGTTGGGAAATAAATATATTTATCCTTGTTGACAACGCTCCCGTTGTGCCATATCCCATACCTTATATATATATATATATGTTTATATATATATTGTCTATTGGTGTAGCTAGACACATACTGATACTCAAGTCTTCGTATTTTTTGTATTTTACTTATTAGTGTGTGCCAGAGTGCAGTGTTATTGATGAAGCCATCAGTATTGTCCTTCACAGCGGGAACGAAGCATGCGATGAGTCCGTTTGCTATTGCGAGAGAGACAGAGAGAATAAACTTTGTTTCCTACCAGGCGCGCGTTCTCTTCACCCAAAGGCGGGTGACTAATTCAACTCAGGTAACCCGGGGACCAGCTCCGGCTGGTGCAAAGGGCGTGGGCGTCAGCACCTAGCCATGGCTACAGCGAGAAAAACAAAAAAGGCACACGATGGCCGCCCTCTGCCGCAGTGGTGACATGTGCTACAAACTTGTGCATGGAATTCTTGGGTCATATATTGCAGTGTTGTTTACAATACCTCCGCTTTCTCTAAATTCTGGACAGTACTACCGCGAAGGTGTGCTGAATGCAAGAGGTATTTTAGATGCATTCGAACATGCGACTGTCGTGTTGAGTGCCTGATTTGAATGCTGCTTACTGATATCTGGGTACACGTGTTCGCGCCACAGGCGCCAATGAACGCACTGCGTCCAGGTGGGGAAAGATGAGAATACATACAAAAGGAAACGTGCTATAAACGTGACCATGAAGTGATATAAAC